TCTGCCAAGTGACTCCATCTTAACAATTACTGTTGTCAGGGAAACAGTGTGAGGCACGATCTCTTTTTCCAACACACAGGGCAGAAGATGAAAAGGCTTTTACTGCACTGTGGATCTATACAAAAAGCTCCAGAAACCAACTCCTGACTGCTGAGTACCTTCAGGTCAAACAAAACAGTGTTTTTGAAACTTATTAAGACCATGGCCAATAAAAAAAAATACACGCAGTCAGTTTTTATTTTTTCCTTTCAAACATCTCCAGACAGACAATTAGGTCAACCAGAGCCCTAAGGTGCTGTGGTGGAGAGGAGAGGAGCAGTGGTGGGGAATCAGGAGACGGGGAGAAATAAAGAAAGAGATAGCTGAGAAGAAAAGAGACAAAATGGGAGCAGAGAGATGGGAGGATAGCTGCAGCACAGGGACAATCAGAGGAACACATAGACAGAGCACTTTAATGCATTCAATTTGTGCTCATTCTTTGTGTCCCTCGGATAATGTATATAATGCAGCAGCCTCATGTACTGTATCAGAAGCAGCCTTATGTTACACAATAAGCAACAGAGACTCCCTCAAGAACTTAAAAGGAAGGAGAATTACTAATTTCTCATTACTCCTTAATGAAGTTACAACATGTACAAAGGCGGAAACTTAACACCATCTGAGAGGAACATTGTTATATCTGTTATTGGTTTAGTAATAAGTCTTTACTTGCAGAAAGGTTTGTAAAATGAATTTCAGTAAAACTTCATTAAACATTTCTAGAGAAATGAAAAAACATGGAAAGATATAGACACAAAAAAGGTGCATTATTAGAAGGTCAGTGAACTTCAAAATCTCTGTCTGCTTCTTGCTTGGTGCCATCTTTCCTGTCTTTCTTTCTGCGCACATTTTTTGTTGGTCTGCTTTCATTGAGGTTTTCCTGCCAACACCAGTCAGATCAATTCCTCACAACCTCTTAATATTTAATATACCTGCGCACATTTGCACCTGCTTTTTCCAGGCTGAGGATTGCCCATAGATGTACATGTACAATCAACCTCACCTATTCTATCCCCTCCCTTCTCTTGTCTGATCCCTCCTTAAATGCATATGCACAAAGGACGGAGATGCACTGCTGAATGCACACCAGCTGCGCCTCAGATGACAGGAAGACTGCGCTTCAAGGCAGTTGCATCTGTTTGATAAATATCAAGCGTGTCTTTAGGTGAAGAAAGCCTCTTAACAGCTCGTGAAATCTGGCTCGGAGTGAGGAGAGGCGGAGGAGAAATCTGTGTTCTCTCCCTTTCATTCTCCATGGTTTCCACCAAAGTCTGGCTGACCTTTTTCCTCCACTTGTTATCCGTTCAGGCCCATTTTTCATGGCTGGGGGTAGAATGGGAAAACACGTCAACCTCGTACATTCTTCTTGAAGTTTTAGACATTGCAGATGCACCCACTTCATCTGGAAAATATTGTTGTGAATGTCTGCGAGTGTGTGGAATGCATGTTGTCTTTCAGCTGCTTTGGAGTCTTCCTCTCTGTGTATAGACCCCAGAAAAATTTAGATAAAGCATTTGTTTTGATTGTTTGATTCTTACTCGATTCTTCTGCATACATTTTCCCATTTCCATAAAAAAATTCCTCAAGTCTGTAGATATAATCTCATATTATTCTCTCTGCCTCCCAGCTGCATGAGTTGAATTTCAATCCTCTCCCCTCTGTCTCTCCTCAAAGCTGAAGTTCAGTTCGGGAACAGTCTTAGCATGTTGATTTTTCCAGCAGTACAGCTCATTCCTCTTCTTCATTTCATGGTGGGGGGATGGAAATAAACCACAGAGGGAAGCTCAGTCTGAATCCTTTGAAGTGGTGATAGCTTTATATGGATCCATTAGTCATATTATACATGGATGTGTATATAAAAAATGATGTCTCAATTAAGACAAACACGCTTTCTGATCAAAGCAAAATCCTGACAGGAAGCTACTTTTTGCAGTGATTGCTGTAGGCGTAAACAAGAGATGCAGACAGATGCTCTTTGTTTTCAAAGACAGAGACTGACCTTTTGAGCTGAGTGCAGGTAATAGCATCAATTTAACGGAGGAAGATTTGTGAGCCTCTTCTGGTCAGAGCTAATGCTTTCTCCAAAGCCTGGCGGGGCGGGTGTGTTTGTACAGGGAGGGACGGCTGAAGTTGGGTAATACAGAACAAACTATGTTTAACTAATATAAACCATGCTAGCTTCAACGGGGCTTAGCAGGATTTGGAAGGGAGAGAGTAAGGGGGTGAAGATGGAAAGGTAAGAAGGGAATTTAGGGGTGAAGGCCACGAAAACATTTTCACAGATGTGGTTGCTTGCTGAGCTCTGAGCTGTTTCATCCTGTGCTATTACAAGCTTGGTTTAATGCTACATCATAGAGTGATATTTTAGATAAGAGTGTGCCAAACTGACAAACAGGTTCCAAAATCTGCTGGAAAACCTTCCCATGGTCAGCAATCCCATACGGTTGAAACGTTTAGGTGTCCACGTACGTTTGGCCATCAAGTTAGCTGTGAGTGGTCTTTTGTAAGTAACCACTCATCTCTAACTTATACGAATCAGTCCCTCTCTGTGGTTTCTGTGCTCTACAGCAGGCTATTAAACGTCCGCTTCACTGACATAGTCCAGTTCTGCTGAGCCATACGCCGTGCGCTAATCCTCTGCATGTGTGTGTGTGCATGCCTAAGTGCATTTATGTTATGTCTCATTGAATTAAAGTTATGATAAGGATTGCCGGAGGTCAGTGTGTGAAAAGATGTTTTTCTGCCATAGATTAGAGCAGCACATTCAGGGACTTTGCCCCTGTGTCATGCCCCTGCCCCTTTTTGGATGAAAGTAGCCCCTTTAATGTGACTGGCAGTAAATGCATTTTTTTAGAGGTCTTTGTTAATTTAATAGCATAAAATAACAAAACTATATTGCTTTTTAGCTATTATGAGCACAAATCCTATGGCAGATCTGGCAAAAAAATTACTTTATGTCGTTATATAGAAGAAATGAAAGAAAGAAGGGTTGATACGTGTCCTTTCAGTCTGGCTCCATCAAAGTGGACGACCCTGACATGTACAACTGCCGTACTGAATCTTCAGGTAATGTATTTCTGACATTTATTAGGTTAAGCCTCTTAACTTTTCTGTTTTTGTAGTCTGTCCAAACTGATGTTCCTGTAAACTACATTAGGCGAAGTGAAACCACAGTGTCTCTATTTTGCTAGCTGTTTGTGCTTATTAAGCAACTTTTTACTACAAGCCAAGAAGTGGAACACAGGTCTGTTTTAGTGCCATGTTACTTATGCTGTTTATAAGGTTTATTATTACAAGGTCAGCTCAATTTATGTGAATTATCATCATTAAAACTATCATGTTTCTGACTGGGCAACAGGTTAGTTTTAAAGGATTTATTGAAATCACAAGCAAAGGAAATGAGAGGAAGGGAAAGGCTGGCAGGGGGGTGCAGCAGGACTAAGAGCTGAGTCCAGGCGGGCTTAACAGGCTGTGGCTAGCTGGTGGTTGTAGGTCCGAGAGTTCATTTCAACGTACAAAAACTGGTCGGCTGAATTGTTCTAACAAGACGTACTGAGTTGATTTAATGATCCTGCGGGATCTGGATGTTTGGTCTCTCCTTAAATATGGACAGGTGATTGCAGGTCAGGTGTGTGATCGCAGATGGGAATCAGTTGACGGTTGGTGCCAAAATAAGAGAGGCAGCGGTAAAGGCCATAACTCCATTGCAGGGGGGGAAGAGGGAGAGCGAGAGGAAAACATACAGACCGACAAAACCAAAACACACTTTCTCTCCCATACCAGATGTCACATCAGTGTCACTGCAGGGCAGTTGTGACAAAAATACCATCTGCTCCCAGCGGCCTTTTGAGGGGCAGACTGGTAAACCAAACTCCATTCTAAAAGCAGGTGTTTTATGGTAGGGCAATATTTTAAGTTACACCATCACTAAGACTCTTTTCTGATTTGCTTTGTTCCATAGGAAAAATCAGCACACATTCATTCATTGAGTAACTAAGTAAACTGTGATGAAGTGTTTGTCACAAGAGTACACCATTGACTGGACGGGTCCCATAGTTGACCATTTTCATCCTCTCTGGTGATATCCTGAAGACACAGATCTCTTCTTTTACTGTCCATCGCTCTTTGATGAAGGAAAAAAAATCATCATGGTCAAAATGCAACACAGCAGCTTTAAGGCATGGTGCCACTAGTTTTTTCAACTTGGCGCTCCCACTTTTATAGCGCTTGTTTTCACCCAAACGGGGGCGTGGTCATTCTGACAACAGGAAAGTTACGTATGCCTGCTCACATCCATAGATTATGTGGTTGGTCAGTCAGTCAGTATCTGTGAAAGTCTTGCTCGACTCTTTTCTCTGCCCTTTCTTTTTTGCTCACATGATCAGCATGTCATCTGGCGGTGATTTGTTGTGGAAGTGTTTCTCTCGCCCTTGTGACTGAAAAGATTTCCCCCTCCCTCTGCTCTCCCATTTTTTCCCACAGCTCTCCCAGTATCCAGCCAAGTCATTCGAAAGGCAAATGTTAGGTAGTTCATGCTTAAGTTAATCATTTTTCAAGAGATATCTGGGTACAAGGAAATAAATATACTATATAAAAGCATATAGCAACACAACTCAAACAAATGGACTGAACTATAAATGGTACAGTGGTGTGCTGCTGACTAGCAGACGAGAAAAACGTGGTGTCACAACCTCACAAATGAACAGTGAAACGTTTGTTTCGAGAAAGGTGTGTCACTGAGACAAACATTCTCCACTTCTGTGTGGCTTTACTGTGAGGACACTACAAAGGAAATTAAGGCTAAAGAAAGGAGTAGCACCTCACCTACAGTCACACATATTTCACATTTCAGACTTGACAACCATGCACAAGCAGCACTGCATACAAGTGTAATCTATGTGTAGTGCAGGGAGTGTATTGCGTCCTTACTCACCTCTCTCTATTTTTCTGTCCACCTGTAGGTTTGAGTGCAGCGAAGTTGTTGAAAGCCAATGGACTGAACCCCGTTGTCCTGGAGGCCAGGGATCGGGTCGGTGGTCGTACCTTCACTGTGCAGGTAAGATCAGGAGCCGTAACGCATTATTATTATCATTGATAGATAATAATTTTAAGCATTATTTATATATCACTTTCATACACAATATGCAGCTCAAATTGCTTTACAAATTAAAAAAAGAAAAGAGCAGATAATGACAAAAACAATAATCGGTTTAAAAAAGAAAAAGATAAAAATGTAAATATATGAGCTGTAACTGATTTATAGACTTTTGGGGAGCCCTGTAAACAGTGCATTGCAGTAGTCGAGCACACTTAATAAAAGCATGCTCAAACCTCTGAAAGAAAGAAAAGGTCTGATGTTTGCAAAACTGAAATCACAATAAAATGACAGAAGGCTGTTCTAGTTAAGTTTCTTAAGGTGGAATAAGCGATTCTGGATGAAATCCAACACCATGACAAATACTATAATATAGAGCGAACAGCAACACACAGCAAATAATATAACCAACATTAGCATACTGTGGCTACAGTTGCTGCTGGGAAGCTAACGTGATGCTAATATAAAGCTAACATGCAGAGAGGACGAGACTGTCCCAGAGCCAGCACAGCAGCTCCAGACAGAGATACTCACAGCTCTCCTGCTGCTATAGCTAACATCACAACTGCAGCACGTCTTGGTGAACTAGAAAGTAAGCTGAACGTCCATAGGCAGGTCATTTAACGTTACCTGACGCACACATAATGGCTGGAATAGCTGGAATAGTGTTGTGTGGTGAGGCGCAGGCCACTTTTTTTGTTTCTAATTGCAGAGCCAGGGCTGAGTACAAACACTGGCCCTGAGGAGATATTCACTGAATTTCACAAAAAGACATGTATTGGATTAGAATCATCACACAAACGTGGTGTAATGTGCTGGGATTGTGTTATAAACTGTTGGTACATTTTTTTATATCTCTGTACTTTGAGAAAAATAGTACTCAAGTACTCAAATGAGTAAAAAGGGGATCAGGTTATCAGGATCAACAGCTATGTAGAATGGGTTTCATCTGCACAGCAGTGAAATCAATACTGTGTATATAGATGATTACCCCTAGTGTCAGTATTTAAAGCAGTGGACCCAGGACAGAGCCTTGCGGTACTCCATATGGATGCAATGTGATAGGCTGGACTGAAACTCTTTCCAACCTATCAGCCGAGACTTTTGGCATCAACAGCATCAAAGGATGCACTGAGTTCCAGAAGCGCAAGAATAGATCATATTAATACATTTCAGCATTATCTGTAATGTGAATGTTTGTCACATTTATATTTCTATGTTTCAGTATGTTTTTTTTGTCTTTTTTAGAATAAGCAGACAAAGTGGGTTGATCTGGGCGGGGCTTACATCGGACCAACTCAGAACCGCATCCTCCGATTGGCCAAAGAGTACGGTGTAAAGACCTACAAAGTCAACGAGCAGGAGAACCTGGTGCATTATGTCAACGTAAGTGTCCGGTCATCTGTGTGTGTTTTTTTAGGATGGCAGATGGCAGACGGTGTGTTCTTCCGTTTGAGTTCTGCAGGACGTGCTGACCATATCCAGAAGATAATACTAACATCCTAGAGTCTGATCTTTTATCCAATAAGCAGGAAACTCTTGTCTGTGGTAATCTTCTGGCATCATTCAACAGGCCACTTAATCTGCTGTCAGCTAGTTCTGTGACTTATAACATCTTTACAACTCGTAGAGCGGGTTGCCCGTTAATCGGAAGGTCGGCAGTTCAATCCCTGGCTCCTCCAGGCTGTATGTCAAAGTATCCTTGGGCAAGATACTGAACCCCGAATTGTCTCTGGTGGCTGTTCAGCCAGTGTATGAAAGTGTGTGAATGTTAGTTTCTGTTTGAGAAATTAGGCTAAGTGTATGAATGTGTGTGAATGGTGAATGCAGATGTATTGTAAAAGCGCTTTGAGTGGTCGCAAAGACTAGAAAGGCGCTATACAAATACGGAGCATTTACATTTACAGCATTTAACTCTTTCCGAGCGTGCGCAGAGAGGACCAAGGCAGAAGAAAACCAAACATTATGTCCTTCCTGTGACTTCCTACGTGTCTGCCGAAGCATCCAGCCTCCCCTTTCCTCTCCAACATTAGTGACTGGAGATGCTAATCTTTGCCTGAGGGGATTTCTGTAATGCAGTTTCTCTTTTCTCTGAGTGGTTGAAAGGATAGCAAAGGCCAACAAAGAAGGAAGGAAGAAAGAGACACTGAGGCCATCTTTGTTCTTGTTATTCTTTGCTCCATATCTCATTAGTATGGGCGCACCACTGTCCTTAACACAGTTGTGTTTCTCTACATGATTTGATTTGCTGTTGCTGCCATGTACCCTGGTCAAACTACCCCTATTGTAAATCACTGGACTGTCTAGTGTGTCTGTGTCTGAGTGTGTGTATGCTTATCACAACATAGGCTATGTTCTAGTAATTTAATCATTAATCAGAGAAGGACTTTGATTCAGGCCCAGGGGTGTCGACACAAACTCACACACTCAAGTGCACTTTCACTGCATTATATAGAAACTTTTTTCTATTGCCTGCCACTATTTACCCGAATGAAGGGGCCTGAATATTACAAACATCTCTCAATATAATGAAATCCAATACATCTACACACAAGTCATAAATCACTGCAGAGTTGAATCAAAGTCTCTCTGTCTCCAAAAACTGATTTATTGCAGCAACGCCAGAATTTAAACTTTAAATTACATTTTAATTTAATTTAATGATGTTGCTTCTCCCATAAAGGGGGTCTCCACTGTAGGAGCTGTAGAGTTATTGACTGTGTGCCCTGAACTCTACAATATTGCACTATTGCAGTCAAGTTGCAAAATCACCTGGTTAATGATAATCTACAAGGATGCTATCAAATATAACTTATGCCAAAATGAGTTTTTGGTACTATTGAACAGTGTCGTGCTGAAATCTGAAAATTTGTGTTCTTGTGGTTGTTTCACCTTGAAAACCACCTCATTGTTCATCCGTTTCAATGGGTAAGTTAGCAGTATTATAAAATGTTGCATGTGTATTTTAAAGAGGTGGTATTGTGCTCATTTTCACGTTCAAAATCTTAATTAGGGGTTGTACCAGAACAGGTTTACATGGTTTAATTTTCAAAAAACACCATATTTTTCTCATACTGCACATTACTGCAGCTCCTCTTTTCACCCTGTGTGTTGTACACTCTGCTCTTGAGCTACAGAGTGATGCATCTTACTTGTACAAAATCTTTGTTGGGAGTTGCACATGCGCAGTTCCCAGGTAAGGACTACTAGCCAATCAGAAGCAGAGAAGGGCGGGTCGTAAGAAACAAGGTAGTATGATCCAAATCAAAGCTGCTTCAGACTGTGACCGTAACCTAGCAGATGGTATAAGTTACTCTCAAGTCCACAACCACACAACATCATTGTTCCACATCTTACCATCAGGACTAAACGTTGAACTGTTGCCAGTGTTCTGACAATCTATACTGCCATGCTGAAAAATGCTACCATAGCGCAAATCGATAGACTCTACTCGACCCTGCTCCGTTTTCCATTGCAGATAGTACCCAGAGATAGTATGTAGCTTGTTGTCATAGCGATGCCACACACAACTGCCATGACATAATGTTCAATGCGACACACACACCAGCAATCCACACAGCTTTCTCTTTTTTTAAGTTAAAATGTTTGAACATTCCTCAGAATGTAAAGACAGATAAGCGGTATGAAAACTTCCAGCTGTGTTTCCTCTGCCGTTGTTGCTGCAGCGGTCTGTGTGACGGCGGGAGCAGAGGGCTCTGTGAGCGGGCGGCTGGCCGGCCTCACACGCTCCTCCCGCGGGGGTTGGCACAGGCTTCCCCCGCAGCCACTTGCGGAGCTCCTCAACTCCGAAAATATTCAAGCACATTTTTGTTCCGCCATCACTGTCAATATTCGAAATCTACACAGCTGATTTCTCACCTCAAAACTTCTCAGAAGTGGATTTAGTGATGAAATTACATACCAAAAAGTGTAAAATCTAAAACTTTCTGTTGCTGTCCTCTGTCTGGCGCACGCAATGATGATGCAGTGAATAGTGACGAATCTCTCTGACCAATCAGCAGTCTGTTGTTTTCACGTTATATTTTAATATCCCTCAGCTCGCTTGGAACCTCGACGGAGGTGAGGTGATACGAAAAAAAGTACGTGGAAGCTACAGTGGAAAACCAAACAAAGGCGAGTCGAGCCAAAGAGCCTCCGCTCAGACTAGCTTGGTTTGAGGGCGTGCCTGACCCCGCTAGCCGCTTGGCAAGCTTTATGACACATTTTCATTGTGATGTCACAAGTAAAGGAAGTGAAGGGCTGGACTACAAACGAGCTGTTTTCAAGCGGTCCAGAGCAGAGCTTTCTGTGGGAGATGGGAACTCCCTTTGGGCTGGACTTTGGGCATTTTCACTTTGCAAACCTGTTACATGCACAAAAAAGATATAACTCAATAAAGGAGAGGGGGAAAGCCAAAAAGCATAATACCACCGCTTTAATACAGATATACTGCTGTAGGAGGGCTATTAGTGAACAGGGAGGCTTCTATCAATCAGGTAAAGTTATATACAGTATATCAAGGAAATATAAATACATTGAATGGCTAGTGCAGGTCATAAATGGTATGAAGAATAGATATGAAATAATGAAAATCGATTGCACTTTAACAAAAACTCTTTCATATATAAACATGCACTGTTATCTACATTAATTTGTCATGTCAAACAGACTGCGATGTCCAACATATTTCATGAAAGGTATATTATTATATGAATGTCACACAGCCTCATCCAAATCACACAGGTGACACTTTTTGTCCTCCTCTGGGACTCAATGGAAAAGGTTCCACAGCCAAAGGCAGGATACCAGATCTTAACTCTGTGCTCTAATCAGGTTAACAGAGACATATTGCTTAATAACACAGTATGCTCTCAATTTAGGTTTGCTTAATATCTCTTCTGACCATACTGTATTTCCTTTATGGACTTATCCAGTTAAAGCATGGTTTCATAGTCTTCAGCATGCTCGTCATCTCACCACATTGGCCTTAACACTGATGTACTATTGACATGACCTACTTCAGCAGTGCTGTGAAATGTCACCAGCATAACGTTTGGCACAGACAGCAGCTCGAAAATAAATCTTTGGGTTGAGTAAAGGACTTCACTGGACAGCCCTGGTGTGAAGCATTATATGAGCTCTGAATCTATCCATACTCGTGTATGGGAGTTCCTATGCGAGCGTGTCTCCCTAGCTACTATCTTTGTAAGATCCACTCAAAGACCCAGACTCACGCGCCACTCGGAGCTTCCTGGCTGGTTTCCATGGCAGCATGCCTCATCTAAAGCTGCTCACTCCTATCAGTATCAGACAGCGTATTTGTGTGTGTGTGTGTGTGTGTGTGTGTGTGTGTGTGTTTGTGCATTTGTGCATGCATATGTGTGGAGGGGTGAGAGCTCTGTTTCTGGTGTCACTGATCCCACAGCTGACTCTGCAAAAGTATCAAAAATTTGAATCATGACCACTATACTCTGAGACAGACAGGCAGTTTCCAATAAAAGAATGAGACAAGTGATATTCTATATTTTGTCTGTGCAGCCAAAGCCTGATTTACCTTAACGTTAGGCTAACTACCATACCTATTGGGACAAGAGACTCCAGTCAGGGATGTTGCTCCCTCTGTCATTGCATAGAGATGATAAAGTGACATGATCCTTATCAGCTAAAGGGGAACTGACAAAGGCCTTAACATTGCAGACAAAATGAACATGGTGCAGTGCAGAGAGACAGATGGCACCTAACAAGAACACGACAAGGCAGTACCTTTCCTGGGTTGATATTTATTCAGCAAGTCACTGACTGAATAATCTACTCGGAGCCTTTTTTTCAGTCCAGTAAAGTTTTCGGAGCTTTAAAACCAGTGTGTGGATACACACTTCACTGAATCCATTATCCTGCACCTGTCCCGTCTGCAGTATTACTAATAGTGTCACCTCTTATTAGAACCTTTGATTCCTGCACCTTTCGCCTCATCAGCGAGAATAAATCAAACCGTCACCTACACTTCACCACATGAAACAGAATGTTGCTGTTGTGAGTATCACTACACTTTGTTTTGATTGTAAGTTGCTAAACTTTGGATTAGCCAAGAAGCTATTCACACAAATAAGCTCTAAACAGACGCCGCATGTAAAGGTGTCCTGATCACGGCACAGGTCTGAACTCAAGTACAGTGGAAAGCACACAGGGAGAAATTAGCATTGATCTAACCTATATGACAGTGTCTGCATTACTTCACAGGGCAGCAGCTAGAGTAAAAGTAAACCAGCAGGTGTGCTGAGCCATTGTGTAATTAGGGCTAGCTTTCAAGCAAGCCGCGTAGCTAATCAGCTTTTCTATGGAAGATTGTAATCCAAAAGGCCAGTGCTGGTTTCCCTTATCAGCAAACTATTGCCTTACAGGCAGCTGCAGCTCTTAGCACTGGATTTATTAATGAGGTATCACTATCAGAGATGGGGAAACAGACTTTGATTAAACACTGTCCCTTGTTATCAGAGATTGGGAAAGAGCATGGGATTGTCCCAGCGCTCCTCCAGCAGTGTGGCTGTCGTGCACGTTCACTGGACCACTGAGAGAAATGGCTGGTGATTGTAAAATTATCTTAACTATGATAATTCTTAACATCCTGATAAAGAAAGAAGTGTGTAGTTGTGTTGTAGAACTTAAGTCTCTGATCTGTTTTCATATGGCCTTTCAAAAGATTATGTTTATCTGTATCCTATTAGAGGCCGAATCATTTGAAGCAGATAAACTTCAGCATACTCATTGTTCTGTAGTTTCTTTATTTATTTTCTGGCATAAAAGCAACATATAAAGATGTTGTGGTGGACAACTGCCCATCTGCACATCCAGCAGACACAGAGCAACAGTAGCATTCATTAGGAGTCGTGTTTCTTTCCACTCTCCTTTTAGATCTGTTTTGGACTCCACCAACTATTTAGCGCCTTAGCTGCTAGCTCCTAGACGCTAACTTTGTGTGTCTGCTGTTTGGAGATGTTCAGGTGCGTAAAGGAAGTTTATCACAGCTTTTCTGCCTGCTGCAGCCGAAAAGTTGATTGATGAGAGTGCTTTTGCATGAAAATGCTGAAGGGGACTGCAGAGTGGGTAATAATTCTCTGTTGCTTTGTCACTATTAGCGACACACTTACATGACACAAAGTCGCCTTATCCATTGTTCATATAAAAAAGATTAACTAGTACAACTTTGAACTTCTTACCATTTGAAAGCATTCGACAGCAGAGGCAACATGAAATCTCAAACCTGTATTTTTTGCCACTTGACAGTGACATTTTATCTCCTTTTTAAAGTTTATATAGTGAATGTATAAGCAAAGTTTGCAAACAAAAGCAAAATCTGCGGTAAACCAAAAATACCGGATGTCGTACTGATTCAGAAAAAATTGGGCCAGTCTACTTTGCATACTGTGTCCCAAAATGCAGCACGCATTATGGCTTTGTTATGGGTAGTAGGACAAATGCAGCAAATTTTCCTTACACAAAATTACATTATAAGAACTTTTTTTTTTTTTGGATTAGTGGGACTTACATTTATATTACTCCTATTGTTTACTATAACTTTCCAAAACCAGAAGCCTGGCCTAGCATACTGTATAATAAATCGATTTAACAATTTCAAACTGCATACTAATATGAATCGCAGTATGCAGTACATACTGCAGTACATACTGCACTCTTTTTAAATAGTATTTAAATGTATTTTTATATCACCCCATATTGCTTTGATGTTTTGTGTAAAGGAGTTTAAATTGACGTGTAATACAAATGTGCTATATAAACTCGCCTTCTTTTCTGCAGTTCGGTCTCACCTGTGTCTCCATGTAGCGTTAGCTTTACACTGTCTCCTCCGTGGGAGGCTGACTCACTGCTCACTGATGTGGAAACAGATGCTTCCATGCATCCTCTCCTCGCCCGATCCCCTGCCCCTCCTCTGCACTCCTCCTTCTGTATTCACTTGGCAAGCATCACCATGGTGACAGATCTGTTGTTCTAAGCACGGCAGCGATTCTGTACGTTGTGAGACACCTAATCTCTCTCTCTCTCTCTCTCTCACTGAGTTGAGTTTTGTGTTGATTATGCCTCATAAAAAAGTGTCTTACTATAACTAGAGTTGTGGTGTAGAACAGAAGGCATCTAACTTTATGAGGGTTGATGTTCACTGACTTGTCAGTCATTCATACCTGGGGGTTACTGTACCTCTGCTTGTGTGTGAATTGATTTTTCCATTGTTGTGGTGGATTGGCTTGGATTATATCATACTTTGTTTAAATGTAAGTGTTTTTAAAACTACTTACAAAGAGACATGTGAGCTTTAGGTGGTGAGTGTGATTAACCTGAGCTCTGACTTCACTGAAAGCTTTGCTGTACCCGGAACAATTCATTTGTAAAGGTTATTTATTAATACTTCATGATGGGATCCATTATTGATTGGTTGGTCTTGGTCAGATGAAACATTTCCTTATGTGGAAGCTCTTCTGAAAACAGGGTTGGTTTTAAACAGAAGCCTAACAAGCATCTCAACAAATGTAGCTTATCCAGTTAAAAACAAAGCTAATTATAGTGTACCTTTTTCAACGATATTTAGTTAAAGTGATGGATTATTTGACGCAACCATTAACAATACCCTAATTTCACATTAGTTTGTTTTCAGTAGATGTATTTATTATATTTGACTTTAACCATGCAAAACAAGACACATTTCAGTATTAGAACCAGACATTTTATTGGCAAGTTACCGTGTTTGTAAGGCAACAGTTAGGGAAACTTTGTAGAAGTTGCCGTCATATCGTTAGAAAATTAAAAGAACAAATAAAGTTTTCAGGGAAAATAAAATTGTATATTTCGTGGTTTTATGTGTGTGTATTTCTAGGTCACAGTGAGATAATGTGTGTAATAAGAGGCCCTTTTTAGGCTAACACAGTTCAACCAGAGCCAATACAACAGTATGAGATTGATCCCAGAAGGCCTGTGCTCTCAGCCTGCAGCTACAGCAGAATATTGATCCACTGTGCGGCCGAGAGCACTCGCTCAGAGGCATCACTACATGTAGCCGATTGTTTTTTTCCCATGGGAAGCTGGTGTTAAATGGGTTTGAAACAAATTTACTTGTCAAGCTTGTCAACCTCCCAGAGCTAAGAGGTTGAGAAAGCAACAAAAAGTGATCTTTAATTAGAGTTAGTTCTTGAAACACCAAACGCTCTTGTGACACAGAGCTTAACAAGTAATCTACATGTCCATATCAGAGAGTTGGCATAAGTAACCTTGATCCCTTTGAAACCTTCCCCCCGCCTCTCTGTTGGCATATTCTGTCTGTAAATCAGTTGTGTGGCTGTGAATAGTCTTTCATTCAGTCGTAAAATGTTGCACAACTGCCAATATAGCAATCTGTTCTACCACTTTCTACACAACTCACTGAATACTGTTCACTGTCATTCTGACTAAGCATACTGGAGGTCAGCTAGAGGTCGACTAACCACCGTTTACTGTCTTTGAAATTTATCTTGTAGAAGTTTGAGTTTTCCTGTCCTCAGCAGGCTGGGAAAAGCTGTAAACGACCACAGCAGGACATGGAAACAGTTCTGATTCAGAGTCAGCAGCTCTGTGAGGCTGGTTAGCCATATATATTGTATATTTAGTGGTAAGGGACTCAGGGATACAATGCTGCCTTAAAACAAAGAACCATTTACAAACAAGTGTCCTCTGCCTTAGAAACTGCTTGAAATCTAGGAGAAATGTCATCCAATATCAGCAAAGTATATTGACAGTCCTCTATGGCAGCCAAACTCTGATATCAACAGGCGTCTAACTCCAACAGCTCGGTAGAGAACGATGAGTTTAGTGTTTTGTATGTAAAATGCAACACAACTGACCCACATGCATACAATATGAGAAAGTCAACTTTTAAGTTGCTTATACAATGTTTTCATATCTGAGCAACTGATAAGAAGATTTTTTTAATGATCATAATGATGATGACCTGTATCCAACAGGGAAGTCTTACCCGTTCAAAGGCTCCTTCCCTCCCATGTGGAACCCCATCGTCTTGTTGGACTTCAACAACCTGTTTAGGACAATGGACCAGATGGGCAAGGAGGTAAAGCAAAAATCACCCTTGCTGTTTGCTTTTACATCCCTCTTTGTGTTTCATATTTGCTAAATCTTTGTTTCGTGTTCATCCGCCTCCTGTATTTCAGATTCCCAAAGAGGCTCCCTGGAGAGCTCCCCATGCTGAGGAGTGGGACAAGATGTCCATGCTGGAGCTCTTTGAAAAAATCTGCTGGACCAGGTAGCACAGAAATTGGAGAATAGCATTACTTTATAACCTACGAGGGATAACAAAGGTCCCAGGCCAGAACTGAACTGAGGATATTGAGCTTATATAGTATTCAATTTTACCATTACCAAGGGTGCCCTTTAGCCCAATCACTTGAAGTCCATGCAAGCAGTTGCAGCTCAAACATGGGAAAATACACTTTATCTAATGCTGGCAGTTTAATAATTTGTTACTGTATTGATGAAATGACTTTAATGTCTTTAATGTCACAAACAATTAATTATTAAGTTATTATTTGCATGATAAATGTTTCTGTCACCATGGCTCTGGGATCACAGGAACATAAAGGGGAACCGTGACATGTGCCACATTTCCAGTCAAATCAAGTCAATTTTATTCACATAGCCCAATGTCATGAATCGCAATTTGCTTCAAGGGGCTTTACTGTCTGTAAGCAGACAGCACCTTCTATCCTTTCCTTAAATGGAAAAAATAAAAGAAACCTCAGAAAGCATTTACAGATGAGTAAATCATAGTGTGTAGCTCACTTGCCACCTTTCTCTGGAGAAATGTATGTATTTTCCTGTGTGACTCTGTACACATTCAGTAATTGACCATAAATCATGAAAATCTTGTGTTTAACTTTCAAGCCTTTCTTAAAAAGTAGGAAAAGATCATGACATTCCTGAATTATCCCTTTAACAAAGTGGAATATTGTAAATAAAGAGTTGCTCCAACTTTTAAGTTTTATGAATCAAAAACATGTGTAGGATTTCATAGATATATCAAGGACATTTGCGTATATCATGTTAACTATTTAGTTGTAACTAACTAATCCCTCACCTTTATTTAAAGCACTGTTCGTCGCTTCGCCACGCTCTTTGTCAACGTGAACGTGACCTCTGAACCCCATGAGGTGTCGGCTTTGTGGTTCCTCTGGTATGTGAAACAGTGCGGAGGAACCATGAGGATCTTCTCCACCACAAACGGAGGACAGGTATGTCTACACGAATGTTTGTGTATGTACATGTCACAATTCACTTAAAGCTCAGGGACTGGAGTTTGCTGCAGCTCAGCAGGGACAGGAGTTTGCTGCAGCTCAGCAGGGACAGGAGGTTGCTGCAGCTAAGCAGGGACAGAAGGTTGCTGCAGCTCAGCAAGGACAGGAGGTTGCTGTAGCTCAGCAGCCAGGTAGTCAGCTAGAAAAATTACACAAGACACACAAGGAACGAGCTTTCAATATAAAAGGAAATAACCATTACATGTGGGGGGTTTTGTGTATTTAGATGCTTTTGAAGATAAGATAAAGTAATCATTCTTAACTGATACCCACTAAGCTTGGAATACAAGAATACAGCTATCCAGAAAATCTCTCTGCAAAAAGCAACCTGAGGGACTGAGGCCAGTGCAGAAGACGCTTGCCAGGAGTTGGTGTAGGATCTACAGAAATAAATTCACTGGAGCATCAGTGAGGGATCCCGCAGCCTCCTAAATCAGCCTTTGTGCATTTAAACTTAGTTTGCTGCTGATCAGCCTGGCATAATTATGAGCCTGACAAAAGCTGTTTTCTTGGAGTGCTGGGGGAGAACAGAGGCTGCCGTACTTTCTAAAGCTAAGTGGCCCACTTGCCACAGCCACTGAGGAAGGAGATTGTGTTTAGATACACAGGCAATGTTGTAACCAGCTCTGCTGTCATCTACATATACACACACACACACCATACACACATATATATATATATATATATATATATATATATATATACAAACACATAAGTCCTTAAGTATTCCACACGGAGGCATAATTGGGATTGTTTGCTTTCACCTTTCTGTTAATCAAACAAGACACATGCAGACTCACTTTGCTTCACTGCCAAGACCAACGCAGGTTTAGCTCATAATTTTCCGGCGACTGACAGACAAATTCACCCAAATGCCACAGTGGAGTACACACAGTGTGTTTCTGATCAGGGAGAACAGAGAGACGTTGACACTAGCCATATGGAAAAGGTCACTGTCTATTTAATTTTGTGTATCAGAGCTTTGGCAGCACTTAATCTCTCTCCACCCCCTCAGTCCTTCTACATCATTCAGCAGCTTTGCAAACATATTTTCCCTTTGGTATCAACATTTTGAAATTTGAAGTGAAGGAAAGAGGGTGGATTGAGGATGACCAGTATATAACACCAAGATAAATCAACAGATTTTCTCAGCTTGTCCCCTAAATTTAGGTTTTATTAGCGTGGCGGAGTCATACTGTGCAGGATCAGGTTGGATAGAAGCAATTTCGCCCAATATAAACTGTCTTGCAAGTAGAGCATAAAAAGGCTAGACTAGACACCTTCAGTATTGCTGCGTCTGGGCTCTGTGTTTGTGGTGGTGGTGACTGACACTCTCCGTCCACTTCTGCAGGAAAGGAAGTTTGTAGGCGGCTCCAGTCAGATCAGTGAGTGCATGGCCAGGGAGCTGGGAGACCGAGTGAAGCTGCAGTCTGCAGTCTACAGGATCGACCAGAGCGGAGACATGGTGGTGGTGGAAACGGTGGACAAACAGACCTACACAGTAAGCATATCAAAGCAGTAGTATGAGTCCGCTGCAGCCATATAGTGGTGGAAAGTAACTAACTACATTTACTCAAGTACTGTACTTAAAGGGTAACTATGGTATTTTTCAACCTGGACCCTATTTTCCCATGTTTTTTTGTGACTAATGTGGGCAACATACAAGGGTGTTACAACTGGCACCAGTGAAACAGAGCTGCAATGTAATCATTGTGTGATTATAAAAACAACTATTTTGGTCTGTGACCTTAGTGTCCTGTGTGGGACGGAGTTGAGTTGTAAGCAGCTCCACCAAAGAGAAATATTCCCTCTAAACTTCTCAGAGGGTTTCATTTTGAGGCCCATAAAGTTCAAAATGTCTTCTTTTTTTTTAACAAAAATAAGTTTATTTAAGAGAAAAGATGAAAAACTTTTTCCTCCTCCATCAATCATCTTATGACCTCTCAGATTTGTTTGGTGACCCTTGGTGACCCACCGGAACCACTGGACTAAACCACCCAACAGTATATAAAGTAGTTAAAACTAAAGCCCTACTTTTTTGATTATTTTACAATTTGCTGATAATCCTTCTGCACTGCAAGTAGTGTGCAGTATTTGTACACTGCATAATGTAACATAATGTGGTGTAGATATAATGTGTAGAAAAAGATGATTAACATTATAACTCTGCCACCAAGGCAGTCTGAATCACAGCAGCTGGAAATATTGTTCTCTGCTGCCATCTACTGGTGACATGACAACCTGCTGCCTTGAGATGCAGCTCAAACTGCTTTTTATTTTTGTGTTTAAATCGCCTCTCTTTTTTTTGTGTGTGTGTGTGTGTGTGTGTGTGTCTTTGTCTTAGGCCAAGTACGTGATCGTGGCCACCCCTCCTGGTATGAATTTGAAAATACACTTTAACCCCGAGTTGCCGCCACTGAGGAACCAGCTGATCCACCGCGTCCCCATGGGCTCAGTCATCAAGTGCATGGTGTACTACAAAGAGAACTTCTGGAGGAAAAAGGGTACGCAGGAAGTGGGATAGTGGGAATGCCGTAGTAAACTTATTTGAAATTTTACACTGTCTTTTTAACACTTGTGCTCATGGGTGTGTCACCAGGATACTGTGGCAGCATGGTGATTGAGGAGGAAGGCGCTCCCATTGGCCTAACGCTGGATGACACAAAGCCTGATGGGAGTGTACCTTGCATTATGGGGTGAGAGCTCCTGCCAGTTCTCAGAGATAATACTATTATTATGTACTATAAAACTACAGGGCCACCTGAACATTTCACTTATGGGTAATTGTCTCATTCCAAGACCACGGACATTAAATGTCTGGCATTATTCTATATTTTTTTGTTTGTCAACAAATTCCATGAAAAGACTAAAACCATCACTGTATGAGTCCATCTCATAACACTTTCTGTGGCTCTCAGTTTCAAGCCCATTGGTTTCTACTTGAGATGTAACTCTTAAAAACAACTATATAGTTAATTTTTCAATAAGGCTCAGTAATTTCCTAAAATAGCTGGGCTCTGTAGTTTTTAACAAACATTACTAAACCAGGCGTACATAGTGTATTTGGTGGGGACTACTTTCTGTTGTGGATTAATATTATACACATTTGATGGAGTAGTGAGTATTTACAGCAGTAGGACAGTGTAAAATAATAAATAAACACAGAAGTGAAGAAAAATGTCACCCAGTGCAATGATGTGTTTTTGGAACAGTGGAGCTCTATGTAGGAATAAGATATAACAAACTTTGGATAAACACATAGTTCTTGTTAGCAGGATCAATTCACTGTCGGTTTGGGTCTTTTAAAATCAGAATCACAATTAGAAAGACCTTTATTGCCAAGTAGTATTTTACACGTACGAGGAATTTGCTGTGGTGATTAGGTGCTAGACATAAACATACAGTTGACATAAACAAATGGAATAAATATATATAAATGTGGAATAAACAGATGTGCAAGTGATAGACGAATAATAGAACTATGTGTACGAGAAAGAAAAACAATGTGGCAGTTATTCACATGTGCTTTATTCTGGATTTGTGTTGTGCTAACATTTTAATTGTAATATGCTGTTGTAAAGGCTGTTGAAAAGTCCAGTCTTTGTGAACAGGGACAATGTTGAAACAGGAAATGGCCTGCTTTCACAAAATTGGAATCACGCTGTTGTAAAAATGCAATAAAATATAATTATATTTATATTCATATTATGTGCATGTTGTAGCATTTAGATTGCACCAAAGTACACAAAATGTGTGGAAGTACTTATTAACTAGTGCAACGGTGTGCTTATTAGTGGATAATATTTCTATTTTCCCTCTACTCCAGATTCATCCTTGCCCACAAGTGCAGGAAGCTATCAGGGTTGACCAAAGAGGAGAGGTAGATGCATGGTGGAGATAATTCAGCAGATTTATACACTACCACAAGCTGCAAGAGTGTTTTCATCCAAACTCTTGTCTTATTGGGTTTTAGGTTGAAGAGGATCTGTGATATCTACTCCAAAGTGCTGGGCTCAGAGGAGGCTCTGCATGTGAGTGTGAATTCAGACTAACACGCAGGCACACAGCTACACTGCATCACTAGTTCAACCATTCATGTGTCCACTTTTGTCTGTCAGCCGGTGCATTATGAGGAGAAGAACTGGTGTGAAGAGGAGTACTCAGGAGGCTGCTACACGGCCTATTTCCCCCCAGGAATCCTTACCCAGTTTGGCAAGTAAGTCACACACATACTAGCTTCTTTTTTCTTTTTTTTTTTATCATAACCCACTAACTGTCAAGTCTGAGCGTTGTTTAAAGGGCGGTCGTAGTGTAGGCACCAGGCACATCTACACCGAATGTGTCCAGAACGTAGTCGACCTCTGCTGCATTAGCGATGTCAGTTACAACAAGGTGAGATGTTTTCTAAATCATTAGCAGATTGTGCAGCACAGATGTCAGCATGGCCTCGTCTGCCATGACACACACACACACACAGATAAATTTGCTAACGGCAAATATTGTGTCTTGATGCTCAATATTTTTATTTTCCAAATCCATGCTGGTTTTTGACAGATGTTTTGATCTTATAGGGTAGAAAACCCACATTATCTTTGCAAAATGTCTTGCCATCCAGTGAAAACAAAAAATGTGTTCAATCCAATTGCAGTGTGTCAAAACTGCAATAACCTTCCTCTTTAAAATTTGACATTTGTCCTGGTAGGAGAAATTGCAACATTCAATGAAAGATTAATTTACACAAAACAGAGTTTGGGCCAGAGGCAAACAGCCATAATACCAGAGACTTATGTCTCTATTTAATTAAAGGCCTCCTTATAAAGCAGCTGAAACTTTATAACCTCTCTGTGTGTTTTCCTGTCTCCAGGGTGCTGAGGGAGCCGGTTGGCAGGTTGTACTTTGCAGGCACAGAGACGGCCACAGAGTGGAGTGGCTACATGGAGGGGGCAGTGCAGGCTGGAGAGAGAGCAGCCAGAGAGGTCAGAGCAACCTCAAAACACTGCCTTCAGAAACCATCCGCTGATATTTAGAACATGTGTATTTGTTGTTTCAAGGTTTAAGTTTTACTTAACATCATCAGTTAAAGGTGCAGATGAAACAAAAAACAGGTATGTCTGGTGTCAATTAGACCTCTGACATCATCAGCCTGATGCAACTGTACAATCAGCTGACACATTATTAATCAGGCCGATGTTTCCTAACACCTCTGCGTGCGCCTGATGATGGCTGTAAAGAAGTAGTTAGACATTTTGGACAAAATGAATAATTCTTGCCAAGAGTTAGATGAAAGGCTCAGTGAATGGAGGGAAACAAATAGTTCTGATCATACTGTTATTAGTTATCAAAAGGGGATCACATAAAAAAACCCTAAATGCCAGGGGGGACTAAAATGTCTAGAGTCAGAAACTAATAAATGCCTGAGGACAGACCTTTTTATGTATTTGATGTAGTCTGAAGTGAACCCAAACAGTAATATTAGGTTATCTTGGCTCAACTGTTAAGTATCTGTGTTGTGTGATCATATAACATAATCAAGAGCCCAAAGGCATCCAGGAATAACTTATATGTAGGTACATTTATTGTGTCACAATAAACAAGTTATAGAGTGAAATTGTGTTTTGTAACTCTCTTCTGCTACATAGCAGACAATATACATTAATACAGAATCAATTATAAAAATGGGAAACAGAAATAAACTATCTTCACTGGAGCAGTGCTGATGATGAATTTGAGCTTAAAAGTCTGATAGCTTGAGGGAAAAAGCTGCTCTGCAATCTGGTGGTGCGGCAGCTGAAACTTATATCTCTTCCCAGAAGGCAGCAGGGTGAACAGGCTGTGGCTGGGTGGGTACTGTCCTTTAGTATCCTTTGGGCTCTGCAGGCACCTTACCAATGATCTTCGGAGCAGTTTTAATCACCCGCTGCAGAGCCCTCCGGTCCTGTGCCGTGCTCATCCCATGCCAGTTAGTGACGTTTCCAGTCAGGAGGCTTTCTATTGCTCCTCTGTGAAAGCTGGCAAGAAATTGGCGTGGGAATTTGGCCTTCTTAAGCTTCCTCAAGAAATACATCATTTCTGAGCTTTCTTCACCAGCATGGAGATGTGACACGACCATGTCAGCTTCTCTGTGATGCTGTTTCCCAGGAACCTGAAACTGTTCACCTGTTCCACCTCAGCTCCACTCATGTAGACAGCAGTGTGTGTCTTTATCTCCTTTTTCCTGAAATCAACCATGAGCTCCTTTGTTTTGCTGACATTGAGCAGTAGGTTGTTCGCTGTGCACCACTCTACAAGATTATCAATGCTTTTATGCTAGTTTTTCCATTTTTACAATACATGCTTATAAAACAATTCAATTTAATATTTCTTACATATAATATAATACTCTGTACAGGTAGAATGTCTCAATATTCCTGTGCTACTTGTTGCTCACAGATAAACTTCCTCCACCTCCCTGGCCCCCATCCAGCATTAGCATTATGTGTGCTTTAAGGAGATTTTTGGGGAGTTTGTGAACTAAGGGGCAATTTATACCAGGGTCTTAGCAGGGTCACACCGACAAACTGAAATGCATGACATGTTGAAATAAATTAACAACCCATGTGTTCTGTTGCAGATCATGTGCGCACTGGGTAAAATCCACCAGAGTCAGATCTGGCAGGAGGAGCCCAAGTGTACGGTGAGCGAAATCTTTCTAAATATATTTAAACCAAATTAAACTCAAAAGCCAAGTAAATGTAACATAAAGCCTTCTCCTCCTTCTGTCCCTCCAACAGGAAGTCCCAGCACTCCCCTTTGTCACCACCTTCTGGGAGAGGAATTTGCCTTCAGTCGGTGGTCTCCTCAAGTTCATGGGATTCTCCACCTTCCTGTCTGTTGCCACTGCAGCCGGTCTGATTGCCTACAAGAAGGGCCTCCTCCCCCGGAGTTAAACTGTCCACCCCGTCATCTCACTCCTCTGCACCTCAATAGACACTGTACTCTTGTACTTCTAGTGCACTACTTTATGGCCCAAACTACAAAGTAGTGAACTATATAGGGTACATGATGTTTTTTGAGAAACGCCCTTCTGTAAGAAAGACTGTTCAGCTCACACAAAACACTAATGCACCATCACTCTGTGTGCTGTCTGTTCACAAAAGAAAGAGCGAGTGAGACAAATAGTAACACGCTGATTAAAAGCTAAGAGGTTCTAGTTTGAGAGGAGAACTAATTTCAGTTTAAATCTATAATAAATCTGTGATTCAGATTGTGAAACCAATGAAGGAAAAAGAACAGACTCTGTTGTTAAAGTAATATTAATATTCCATACATTGCCAATGACATTCACATTCTTGATTACATGTGGGTTTCTTAACTCATCATGCTTTCTGTGTATGAGCTGTGTGTGCTTGTGTGCATGCTATGATGAGCATGCCTTTGTGAGCGTGAGTTTGTCAGTTGTGTACAAAGTGTGTGTGTGTGTGTGTGTGTGTGTGTGTGTATGTGTGTCTAATTACCTCTGCTGATTTTAGGTGCTGATTTATTCTGGCCAAGCAGCTGTAGCTGTTTGATGAGATCCAGCAACATCAGAATCGAATAGAACTGTGCCATTGCCCATTACAAAATCACAGAGGAGGTTTAAGTATAAGGCGGGTGATATTCTAAATGTCTCTTATTGTCAACAAATCCCATGAAAAGACCAAAACCAACAATGAACTGATTATTTTATCAAATATTGTCTGTGTTGCATATATACACAGCTGATATATCTTGTTCCTCTGTGCCATAGAGTTCCATCACAAAAAAATAAATAAAAATGAGCCACACTGTTGCAGTGGGTCACATGATCTTTCGTTATGAAGAACATGGGCACTGTTGTGTATTTAATATCAATCCCACATGCACCATCGTGCTGCTGTAAATACTCACAACCGCACCAAATGTGTATTACACTGCTGTGTAAAATACTCCCCATCTACTGTGCCTAGTTGTTTTAAAGTATCTTCAGACTGAATGCAAAGTGTCCTGGTGTTATTTGCGCAAATTTGTGTTTGTGACTGCATAAATTGGCAACGTGTGTGCAGTGTGGCTGTATTTATGCTTTTATTAGTATTTATGAGTTTTATTTGAGCACTTACGTTCCAAAAACTGACCAGGAACTCCACCTTTCTGTTATTTCTCAGGAGTTATTCTCCTTTCTCGTCTTTATTCTGTACAATTATGAAGTGGAGGCTCAGCTCATTTGTCACACATTTTCAACTCCTTTGGATGTGTCAAGCCACTTCAATAGTATTTATATATCCATTTGCCTCAAAGGGCTTTACAATTTGTATAGCATACAGGAACCTTTTGTAGATTATTTTAAACGAATCCCTCAACACTATTCTTTTGCCAGATATTACTCACTAGCGCATCAAATCCACGGCTGAAAATAGTCCCCAACAAATGCATTATTTACTCCTGTTTGAGTAATATTAACTAAAAATAACCAGCGCTCAGCTGCTTAAGGAAATTACTGATCCAATACCATATATTTATGACCCCTTTTCTTCAATTAGAAGTTAGGTGCTAACAGGTTAGGGAAGTTGAAAAAAGTATTGAGAGACTAATTCACTGTTGGTTTACATGAGATTTGTTGACGGTGAGAAAAATTATAATAAAAATGCATAAGAAGCCTTGTCCTTTAATTAAAACTTGTATTTAGGGGTAATGTAGTGCTACTAAGCTGCTCTCTATGGTTGTCTCTTGGTAAATGTAATGGTAGCATCCGAATGTATTTTCGTCAGACCAGATAAAACAAACTATTTGTTGCTGTATCGTGATCAGATTTTTCATTCATAATTCAGATTAACAAGCGTTGTAGCCAAAAAAAACACATTCTAATTGTTTAAAAAAGCGCAAAACTTATATTTGCGTTATTTTTGGAAGCCACTATGGAAAGATGTGGCCAGCCGCAGTGGCTCTGTGAAGTCCTCCAACAACAATGTTTGGATTCTCTTGACATTATGGAACCTATTAGATGCTTTATTGTCTTATCTGCTTATAGAGAATCTAATCACACTTGAAAAGTTTTGATTTGTTAAAGAGAGAGAAAACGGCCTCTTCTTAAAATGAACTTAATAAAACAGAAAGATGATACTGGCTTTTGGAGAAGCAAAATTCACGCTTCACAGCTGAAAAACACATCTGACTACTTGCAGTAAACGGTAATCGTTGGATGAGTTGCACTGATGTCCGTGACCATTTGTCGGAGTAGAAGTGTGTTTTTTCTGTAATATAATAGAAATCTAATTACAGCAGTAGATGTGAAGAAAACCAATCAACACATGACGCCTGACTCTAAAAGAGTGTCCTCAGTTAGTGCATTTGTTTTGAACGGCATTGTACTGTGTGCGCACCTCTGTATGCAGTACTCTGGTCCCAAAGACTGGTGTGTGTCTGTGTGTGTGTGTGTGTGATCTGTTGTGCCTTAATGGAAGTCATAGTGTTTTTGTCATTTTTCTCAAGTGCCTGTGTGACTCTTGACACTCTTTGCCCTTCCTCCCCTCCCCTCCCACCTGCACTGGAGGTGAGAGGTCAGATGGACCGGGTCCACTGGTTTAAGGCATCATCAGTAACCATCAATACACAGGGACCAGCTAAACAACTCCGTGTCCCTCTTACCGTGTCCCAAACCTTTCATTTTTAACCATTCCCTGTATTACCTGAGTTACGTCCTCAGTATAAACTTGACTCAGGTAAAGCCAGGTGTATGAACACGGTGTCGGCTGTGAATAATAAAGCTCAGACTGCTTATCTCCAGTGAAGCCAAGTCTGTGTGTGTGTACTTTGTATTGCGATTGCAGTGCTGTCTCCTCTTGTTGTGGTGTCTCTCTAGCTGCTTAACTTCACCCTGTGTGCACTGACCTTTGACCCCCCACCCCTTACTCACTTCACCTACTCATCCCAGCACATGCACTGGTTTTGCGCTCTCCCAAGTTAGAAGTCATGATTGGACAATGATGTCGCTCACGTTTTAACCCATCTCTGACTTCAGTGGACAAACAAAGCCAGCACACTCTGTCCGTCCCTTCCAAAGTACATTACTCGCACCATCAGCAGACATAATGTTCGGATATCCACTATCCGATCCTTCTTCATTGTTTTCTGGAGACCTGAGACTGTTCCTCCATCCCCCTTGTCCTTCTGTGCATTTGAGCCTTGTTAACTTTTCCTGTGACACATTCTTTAATGTCTTTGATTCCTCAAAAAAAAGCTGGTGATATTTAACAGAAATGTGAAATAAATCTTTTACTCGTCTTAAACTGTTCTTGTGTATCATTTTGTCTATTTCTTGGGTGGGGATGCAGCTATGTGTATTATGTCTACTCAAAGTGATGCCTAAATAACATTACAAATGGGTGTCAGGCTGATGTATTTATTGTCATCAGGACCAGTAACTTACCAGCTAGGATGGCCTAACTGCAGAAGACACAACACCATTGCAATGCTTTAACACTGCGAGTTGTGAATGAGGTCCAAAATTAGCTGTCAAAATAAAGCTGATTGGAAATATACATCATTTTTGAGCATGATGGAAGCAGAGGTTTAGAGCACAAGAGACACTAGAGGCTAAGTTGGCTGAGAGGACATTACCACAGGAAGACAGAAACCAATCTGGTGCTGACTGGTGACCAGGAGTCTTTCAGCAGGAGACTTTATGAGAGGATTGCCTGGAGGCGTGCAGATGATGACCACACACACAGACAAGACCAGAGAAAGGAAAAAAAACCCAGACACACAGAAGAACAACACAGATGTCACAGATGAAATGATATCTGAGACTGTGGCCCTTTTGTTATTTGTTCCCAGAGACACTCAACAGCTGAGCAACGATAAATGCATTAAACGCTACACAAGCAAGCTAAAGCTAGCTATTACTGGTATATGTATAATTACTTAATGTCAGGGGATCACCAAGGTTCCTGGAATTCATCCTGAGAGGGACATAAATGTGTGAACCAAATTTCATGGCAATCCATCCAATAGATGTCAAGACATTTCACTCAAAACCCCAAATGTGAACCTCATGGTGGTGCTATAGGAGAAGTCAAAGTCTCATCTTCCAGGGACCTTGAATGTCTGTACAAGATGTATAGTCGCCAATATATTTAAGTCTGGAACGAAGAGGTGGACCAACTGACTTATACTGCCATCCCTAGAGCTACCCTGTTAGCATGTCAGAAAATATCATAGTTGAGTTCTTGGTGACTGAATCATACTTAGCCTATATAAGCAGTGATCTCTAATTTACAGCACATAGAATAAAAAGATGGTTGCCGATAAACTGCCAGAGGTGGGCGTCGTAGCGGAAAGCTGCAGCCAAGGGCTATAAAGACAGATGGATAAGTAATTTACATTAGAGTCACATTTAGTATAATTTTCAAAGCAGCCCTCCAGCCTTATTGAGACCCTTGATACAGAGTGTGTGTGCACATGTGTGTTAACGGATTTTCTGGCAAAACACCAAAAGAGCTAGGGTTCAGATGTAGAGCGCTGTTGGCCACCACAACGGCAAGATAATTTCTTTAGAAACCAAAGACCAGCGTTCCAATCCAGTTTAAAGCCACCTCTTATATCTTTCAGGCCAGCCTAGTCTCCCCTGTGTGTGTGTGTGTGTGTGTGTGTGTGTGTGTGTCTGTGTGTGTGTGTGTTTCATGCCAGGACTTCTGCTCCACTCTGCAGGGATAAGATGCCAGCCGTCCGCTTTCATCTCTTCTGTATTTAATTTAATCTCCCCTTTGAGCTCCTCGCCGCAGGGCCTTTCACGTATACTCAAGAATTGCAAAATCAATATAAATCGTGATTGAACGCCAATATAAGGATGTCCGCATTGAGATAATGTGCTCCTACTTTTTCTTTTCTGACCAACAATGAGTGTGATCATGAAGTGCAGTCTGAAGCAGTGATTTCTCCCCGCACTCACTGTATGTGTGTAGCCACAAGAG